TATCAATGTGCATCCAACCTGAAAAATATAAACCAGGCTACATATTTAGGCTTAAGTTCAGGGGAATAAATGCACCTCTCATAATGAGAGGGAATGTATTATTATCATAATTATATAAAAAAGGAGAGTGTCGGGCTGTGTGTGTGGCGTGCGGAGCTCTCCATGGTGCTTCGTCTTCAGACTGGAAAATGACGCAGAGAAAAAGACGAGTGCTGGAATCACTCAAATAAAAAAATAAAACTAAACTTTCTAATTTAAAGAATGAGCAAATGTGACGCAATTTATAATAATGATAGGACTTGTAATAATATTATTAAATAAAATAATAAGAATGATAATAATGATAACAATCACATGTTTTACGTTTAATGGTTATTGTTATTATTATTATTGTTATTATTGTTATTATTATTATTATTGTTATTATTATTATTATTATTGTTATTATTATTATTATTATTATTATTATTATTATTATTATTATTATTATTATTATTGTTATTAGCCTATTATAAGTCTACATTACCGGAGATAAAGATGGAAGAGATGAAGAAGAAAATGCAATATACATGGGACAAAGCCATAAAATGTTTCCAATCTCTTTCAGATAATCACCATGAATGTGGCTAAAACATCCGGCCTGATTCAAACATGCAGGCCAGTCAAGGTTGCGTGTCTAAAAAAATGCTCTTTGCCATTTTAGTTGTTTTGCTCACACTTTAAGATCGCAGAAACACACCACAGAGCTAATTGGGTCACTAACCTCCATTTTATAAGAAACATGCAGTTTAACTCTGAGCTTGGGGAGAACGCTCCCTATATTCAGCAAGAAGGGCAAAAGTTGTGACTTTCTTTGAAACCTGTGATTTTCTGTCACTTTGTGCATATGCTTTTGGTGGCTAAATCCCAATTAGAGTCGGCTGACACGCTGCTCCATTCATGCAGGGCCCTGCGTGCATACATTTGCCTCGGAATGCGCTTCTCAAATAGATCTCCTGCTAAATGCGTTGGACAGCAGAGAGAATCGGCCTGACTGACACGTTCTTTCTGAGGCGCTGAGGGAGAAAAGGTATGAATTTATAAGGTACACCGAAACATATCAATTCAGGCAACTTCACGCGCTTTTATCTGCGTCTGCTCATGCGAGACAAAGTGATTTTAAGTCAGGGAAATGTGCCTTGAAAAAGGCCGGCGCTGAAACTTTGTGGGGACTTTGAATACCGAAATGGTTCAGCCCACTTCTTGGAGAAAGGAGATGAGGCATTTTGAATGAAATCACGCATGAACAGCGTTGAATCAGGTTCCAGTTATTCGGCTCCTCTCTAATGCGATTTTGAATATTAGTCTGGGTTAAAACCCAATCATGTCATCTGGTGGGAGTCCCATACAAGCATCATTACTATTCAAACGCGTCGCTAATGTCCCACCCGCATCAAGGCAGCTGGTCTGCCCTCGGTGCAGCTTGCAACGTTCCCCAGGTTGCAAAGAAAGAATAACACCTTCAAAATGACCGGCGGAGCCTTTAAATAAAAACAAGAATGGCTAGGAGTAAGATAAACAGGCCTGTCCAAAGTTGTTCTCTTTTTCCTCGACAGCGGGATCAGATCTGAAAGGAATATAAAGAAGTTCTGATTCTTCAACTGAACAGAGTCTATCCTGTCCAGAAACCCAAACGTACGAGGATTTAACATTCCCTTTTTAACAAAAACAAGTGTGACTAAATAAATGTGAGAGGTGCCAAAGGTGTGGGCTTACATGTGGAGAAATAAATGGACAAAGTCACTTCTTAGACGTGGGAATCTGTGAGAAATAGGCCACATTGCTAAGTGGGACAATGATTGGGCTCTGCTGAATAGAGCCAAACAAAGTTTATGGGTCGACATAAAAAATGTGTTTTCTTCTGAGCTCTGAGGGGTCTTAATGGTAGGCCTTTGAAACCAGCTCAGGAGAGGTGGTGGTGAACCCTTGGCACCCCTGAAGTATAGTCAGGGAGTATGAATGGAGATCCCTGGTGGGGCATTGCTCTCAGTATTTACCGCGTTGCTTTGCAGGCAGGTTGTTCCTCTATATTCATGGCTCATTAATGGCCAACCAGTTAAATCAGAGCCCCACCGTTTAGACAGTTAAAACCCAAGAAAGGCTGACAAGAGCCAGGCATGGCCGCCCATAAAAACTTCTCCCTCCTCTCACAGCGCCAATTCTTCTCAGGTCGTTATTTAAGTTCAGTAAAGGGAAGCGGAGAGGATTCAGAAGAAGCGCACTTGCAGAATGCTGCTGATCGACTTTGCAATATTGTCCTAGAATAAAGAATAGAAGATGTAATTAATGTGTCTTTTTCTGTGAAAAGGGGAGGAGGAACAAAACCGCCGGTCAGGCCATTTAATTTAATTTAATTCTCTATCCCATTTGCCTTGAGCCCTGTTTTCACTTTGACACCAAGTCTTTTGACTGCGTCAGAACGCACAGCGGAGCGCGGACTCACCGCAGCGACTTCTCCGCAAAAAGAAAGAAAAACGTCTTCTCCGTTTGGTGCTCCCTCCTCTCTCCATGGAAAATAATTAATTTAACTGTGGAGGAGTTCGAGGCTTTAGAGCATCGCTGGGGTGGATGGGAACCGGTCGCAAATGGCGAGACGTTAATAAATAACCCTCCGCACAGCCAGGCGCAAACATTGCGCCTATTGATTAGATTGTTCGCGTGTCGCTCAGCTGATGAGAAGCGCAAGAGGATAAAGCAAGAGAGGAGCAACAGTGAGAGTGAGAGAGAGAGAGAGAGAGAGAGAGAGAGAGAGAGAGGGGAGATGGGAAGAGAGACAGACATACAGCGAGAGAGAGAGAGAGAAAGAGAGAGAGAGAGAGAGAGAGACCGCGAGCGAGTGAAAGAGCCCTTTTTGAATTGAATAGAGAGACAGAGAGAGGGGTGGTCATCGATTTTAAACATTTGATGATTATATAGGCTAGATCTATACCGCATGCAGGTATGAAACATTTCCCTTCTTGACATTGTGTCCTTTAATATGATGTTTTAATGTCCTTAAGTCCAGTCTAGGAGCTTTTCAGACATAACTTATACTTACCGTGATTCAGAGACCACTGTGGAGAGGTCAGAGGTCAGCATGGTCATGGTCTGAGTTGATCGCCCACAGGTTCTTGTTCTTCTTTTCTGCTGAGGCTCATCAGCAGAGCATGTAAAAATGCTCCAACGACCTATTTAAACAAGCTGCTGCACACAGACGCACGTTGAAATCATTCACCCTTTACATTTCCTAAACCTCATTACATTTCACAACAGTTTACTTTAATTACAAGTAAAGCTTTCAATCAGCATAGAAATCCACAATTTAAGGACCCTTGTGTCAGGTTCATAGCCTGACATAGTATATTTGATATAGTTCTATATATAATGACAATGGGACCACACAGAATATTTAACAAATTGTTGTTTCATTATTTTGCAGTTTGTTACTCGGAATTGGAGTTTGAGCATTTGACTAAATGATGAAATGATTCTCCAGAAAAAAATATTCCAACTTCCAAACCGTAACCATTCCAAAACCAATTGGATGTCTAAAGTGCAGGCCATTATGTTGGATTCAGGGCTGCTTCAGACATTTTGCAGAGGTACATGGTTTTCCCAGGACAGCAACGACATCCTTTTTATTATTTCATTCTGATAAATCAATCAATCACCTAGCCAATAATTATGTCACTGTTACGTTTTATTTTACACATTCATCACATTCAAACTTTGGGTTTTAAATTGCAACAATAAAAAAATAATTTAGCATTTTTTCTCCCCTAAATATTGATGATCTTTCTGTACTGCCTTATAAAGTAGCTAGCCTATTTCAATGATATTCCTAAAGGTTCATTTATTTATTAATGGTTGCTGCACGTGGTATTAGTTATTTCCATTCTAGCCTTATTTTTTGTTGTGATTGTACTTTTTCAACGAAGAGTTCTTCACGTTATAGCTGAATTGAGCATAGGTGGGGAAAAAAACGAGAACAATTGTATTTAAAGAGGAAGACATGACAAGAAAACCACAAGTGCGTTGAAAAGATGGTGATGGTTTTCTTTCCCCCCCTCGGTCTGTCGCTCTTCCTCTTCCTGCTGGTGGTTCTCCCTCTTCAGTACCTGCCTGATCTCCACCCGGCACACGCCGAGATTCAATAGAAGTTAACAAGTCCTCTAAACTTTCCTGCTCCCTTTGTTGCACTTAGGACACAAAGGATGATGGGGAATAAAGCGCTTTGAAGTGTATAAAAGCCAAAGAATGCCAGCCAAGTAGATTTAAAGTAGCCACTGATTTCCAAAACCTGGCTTGAAAGGGAAGAATAGGAAAGGGTGAGGATTTATGGATAAATTATACAGTGTATTTGTCAGTTAAAATATCGGAACTGTCTGGAGGACAAAGCCACATGCTGAGGATTAATGGTCGCTCTGGACCTTTGATTCGGCTCCCTCTTTTCTCTGCCCTTGACAAATTGGATTTTGGGGATGGGAAGGTCGCCTGGCCCTTTGTGTCTCTTGACCGTTTTGGAGCAATTCATTATGCGGCGGGGTGAGGGAAAGTCTCCATGTGACCAGGCAGGCCCGTTTCCCCTCTCCTCACAGCTGCTGGGAGAGCCCAACTCTCTCACACTCACTTACACAAACACACACGCACACGCTGCTGCAAACTCACACCGCCCCCTCCCCTCTTCCCCTCTAAAGTACCTTACAGGACATCATCACCTCTCTGCCGCCCCCCCCCCCCCCCCGCCCGCACAAACCCCCTTCCCTCCTCTTCCCACAAACACTCACACACTTGCTTCCTGAGTTGGAGAGGTCGGGATGGGTGGGGGGCATTGAGGGAGGGAGGGACGGGGGGGGGGGGGGCTACCTTGCCTACACCATCACTAGAAAAGCCGGAGTGCATAACGCCACCATGTCAATTTGAGGGCGGATATCGGCCAGTCCTCATCATCTCCTCCTCATCCTCTTCCCTCTTCTCTGCACTCTTACAATCGGTTTCCATCAGTCTTCATGGTTCTGATCTCACCCCACGCCATGCAACCCACCCGGGCGTCCACCACAGTCAGTGTGTTCGCGGACTGCAGCATCCCGGCCGGGCTTCGGATAGGACCGGTACCGGGCATCTTCAAACTCGGGAAGTACGTGTCAGACCGAAAGGAAGTAGGACCCAAGAAGAAGGTAAGCTAAAACATTAAAACTTTTCAAAAAATACTTTTATTTTCATTGTATAGGTCTAACGGCACGTTATTTGTTCCTCACATACAGCACAACAATGTGTCTGATTTGCAACAGCCTTTGGAATATTTATTATCCTTTATTAATGAGGAACATGTCATCAATCAAATAAAACTTAGATTGTATTACAACGTAGGACCAGGTTTTGTTTCCAATTTAGTTATTATTAATTTAATCAGGCAAAATAACTTTTTTTTACATTTCTTTTTTTTTGGAAAAAAAACCCAACGTAATACCTTCAATCAATGTAGTATCATCTTTGGTGTATTACTGTACATGAAAAACGAGAGGGCTCGATTTGTATTTTAACGCCACACTGTCAAACTCCATCGGGCCTTCACTTATTAATTGGTTTGGCCTGTCAGGTTGGAAATAATTGAGCTCCATTAGTTGCCGACTTGTCAGTCTGTGCTTCTACTTAACCGGCCTAATGGGCGGCCCGGCTCCGCTGTGTGGGATTTCATGCCCTCAGCTGCCTCACATTTCTTTGCCTGACGGGCCTGTTATCCCGATGAGCCGTTTAATTTTAATGTAATCCGGCCACAGAAAGATGCCACTGAAGCCGCAGATCACAGCGTGGGGCAATTGAAAAAAAAAAAACCCCAATATCAACAACTAAATATTAGGCCTAATTAAAAAACATAAAAATAAATGAAAGAAGCTGAATTTATATTTATGGTCTTGGTTGATCAAAACGTGTGTTTTTAGATTAAAGTCAGGGAGCAGAAGGATTGGGAAAATTAAAACATTAGAACAATTAAAAAGGGAAGAAGAAACTTTAAAAAAAGTCTAGCTATGAAACATTCATTTCATTCATCAAACATAAATATATGAAAGCATTTACAGCTGAGCTAAAAGCGCATCTATAACCGCACCCTGTTATTGTTGAAGCTGTCAGCGGCTGTGATTGATGCGTCTAAATGCGTGGCCCCGGGCTGCCGGCGATCATCAGGTGCACTCTCTGTGTCAAATGTCGCGCTTCAATCTTTAATGTCCTTGAACAGTTTAGAAACGCTCTGACACTCCTCAAATTCGTTTCCCATATCAACTCAATTAGGCCCGAGTGTCATTCTCTTTAGTAAATCATCAGCGGAGCGGATAAAGACGCATTAAGCGCGTTATGGTCATGCGTGGCCGCAACACCTCCAGGTAGAGCAGGCAAGCTTTGGCGACAATATTATTTAGACAATTCGCTAAAAAAAAGATTGAAAAAGAAAAACTGCAAATGTTATTACTTTTTGGAGGAAAGGACATTTTTAAACAGGCTAAATGTGTTTCTGGAGCGTATGACCTATTTTAGTTTATTAACTGCGACATGGAGCTCTTATTTCGATGGACCTGATATCCATCATTTCTTTTAAACAGTTTTTTAAAACTTGTACTCATTGTGACATTTTTTTCCTACTTAGGTTCGCTTAGTAAGGGGAGAGTTCTTGGACGAATCGGGCTGTCCCGTGCCAGACTGGATCGGATTCATCCGCGCAGCCAGGAACAGTCAGGAGCAGAACCTCGAGGCAGTGTCAGACCTACCTGGCGGACAGGTGATTTTTATTTATTTTTCATTACAGTACAATTTAAAGCCTTTGTCATTTTTTCCCTATGTAACTACATTGAAGCCTCCTCTGTTTTCTTGTATAAAGATTTTCTATCGCGTACTGAAAGAAATCCCCGCCGGAGAGGAGCTCAGTGTTTGGTACTCCAATGCTCTGGCCCAGTGGTACGACATCCCGACAACGGCCACACCCACGCACGACGAGAAAGGTAACTAAGACTGCGGATAACAGTTATTATTAGATAGCAAAAGTTTAACCAAGCGGCTCATGGCTGGAAATAAAACAAAGGAAATTTCACAACAACAACAACAACAACAACAACAACAATAATAATAATAATAATAATAATAATAATAATAATAATAATAATAATAATAAATAATACTACTAATAATAATACTACTACTAAATAATAATAATAATAATAAACGCTTAGAGAAACATTTCCGATGTCTGATGTTGTTTTATTTACTTTTAAAGATTGAGAGTTGATTTAGTTGGCAGACTCACTCTGACACAGCATCGACATGATGAGGAGCCATCAGATAACAGTTAAATGACTGACAATACTCTTGATGTTTGTCTTTTAGCGCTCAGATGGAAATCGATAAGATTTGTTTTTACCTCAGGCAGACAATCTGAAATTTGTAATGTATCCATTTTTAACGAAGAAATGAGAATTCATTTATTTGAGTTAATATGCCGTTTAGGAAATGCGAGATAGATTGGATATGTGGTGAAAAGCAGGCAAATTGACTGGATGGGGATAGTGTCAGGCCTGCCACATTAGCCAGGTCATAACAGAAACTTTTTTCCCTATCATTGTCATGTATTTGGTTTTATCAGCAGCCTGTGTTTGGGCTTTAAATCCGTTTGTTTGGGTTGGTAGTGATAATATGGCGCTTGGGTTGAAGGATTATTGTCTAATCTTTGTTAAACACCAGCTCAACAGAACTAATCCGTTTAATAAAAGGAGAAAAGATAATCCTCAGCAGATACTTTAGAGGGAAACTCATCGACTGACGATGATTTCGGATTATAAACTCTTTTGAATCTGGAGGGCCTCTTCACTTATTGAATAAATATAGAAGCAAAGTGACGCAGCGTGAAATGATATTGCACTTGCATAGTGAAAAAAATACATGTGATAAATTAATAACGGTGCTTGACACAGGGAATAAAAAAAAGCAAATAAAAGCAGTAATAAACGTGTCTCGACGACCGTGGAAGAAGAAGTGGCTGGTGATTCAGTTGCGAGACGGAGGTTAACAAATGTCATCGTGTCATTAATATTCATGTATTCAAAAGCAAATAAATTCAAAAACAAGTGCTTCACGGTAAATTAGGTGGGTGCGTCAAGGTATTGTGGACTAATGAATGCTAACTTTTATGTGGGGTGTATATTGCCCTGATGCTCTGGCTCAACACACCGTGTGCACTCCTGGACATACGCTCGCTCCCATTATGAGGCGTCAACAGATGGGCCTTCACCATTGTTTCTGCAGACTTGCGATTTCAAGCAACAGCTGCTGTCACTTCCACGGGAAAGAGCGCAGAGAGAGGAAGTCCCGCATTCAAAGCATCATTTTCTGTGAGCCAGATTGGGCAGGGCGTTTGCTCTTTTGATGGCGATCATAAACAATGGCCCCTATAAGGATTACAAAATCATTACATCTATATTAACCTCCGAGTGCTCTACTGGGGGTAATTTCAAATGGCCTCTCGTGTCTATTTCCATTTGGCACCACATTTCAGACATCGGATCGTATACATTAGGCCTTAATCTTAATTTCAGTTGATAACATTTTAGAGCGACTGATGACAAGCTTGTTCTCTGGGAGCAATGAAAGGGGAAATCAATTCTATGTTACTATTTTATTTGACGTTCCAAAATTTTTAAATACAATTTTAATTCAAAATCTGCTCACATTAATCTTTATTTATTGACGGCGTTTCGTGTGTGATTGTTGGAAAGGGGGCACTTGCAGGTATCGCTTTACTACAGTTTGTAATGTAATACCTTTAACAAAAATGTACGCACGGACCTAGTGTTTTACGCACGTCATGGTGTCGTCATTATCTGGCTTCACCTTGTGTTGTGTGACTTAATGATCCGAATCCACCTGTTCATAATTGTATTTTTTGTTCTTGTTTCTACAGGAGAGGAGCGTTACATCTGCTGGTACTGCTGGAGAATATTCAAGTACCCGAACACACTCAAGGCGCACGTACACTTTCACTGCGCCCTGAGCAACGGGCGGGGGTTTGTGAACAGTGAGCAGGCCAGAGGCACGGAGACCTTCAGCAGGTCACCAAAGTCAGGAGACATCCCCAACACCTCCATCTCTCCGAGGAGCGGTCACAGTAACACTTCCATCTCAGACTCTGGCAGGCGGGCAGTGGCCTCCTCCCCTTTTCTAAATAAAGTGGGACTGTCAAAGAAAAGCAGCTCAGAGGAGCAGGACAGGGCGCTCGACATGAGCGTCACCTCAGCCAGACACCAAGGACATATCCTCGGACTCGGGGCCACATCTTCAGTGCTGAGCAGCATGGGCTTTCACCCGGGCGTGCGCTCTGCCTTCAAACCCACTGGAGTGTCCAAAGTCCAGAGTACAGATGTGCCAAGGGATGACGTGAAGCTGAGCGGCCTGGGTTTTAACAAACTCATTGGAAACATGAAACCAATCCGCAATGTAGGCGAGACTCTCAACGGAGGGGGGAACCACCCTTCAAAGTGCGCACCTGCAATTATGGACTCCGCATCTCCAATGGTGCCATGCACAAACAATATCCGAAGTTTTCCGCTGTTGCCTCACATGGAGGAGACTTCAGCTTTTAAGCACGTGGAGAGCAGGATGCACTCCGGCCTGTCCCCCTCCCGCTACCCCCAGATGCCCCCTGGAATCCACTTTGAGAGGTTCTCCCTGCCTCACTTCGACGGTGTAAAGACATATGGAGGTGACTGTAACATCCCGCTCATGCCCTTCACTGTTTACAACGGGGAGCTTCTGTACAGCTCCCCTTATTACCCGCTGAAATTCCACTTCAGCAATTTGCTCAAATACCCCGAGTCTATGTCCTACTTCGGTGCACCCCCACTAAGCCAAGACCTGGGCTCTATCACCAACATCGACCGAGAGATCGCCATGCACACGCAACAGCTGTCTGAGATCGCAGCTGAGAAGAACCGAACCAGGCTGGACTCCATGCCCGCCGGGAGCGCCACCAACGCAGGGTCCGGAAAGCCCAAAAAGGGACACCTGTGTCTGTACTGCGGCAAACTGTACTCCAGGAAATACGGCCTGAAAATCCACATGAGGACTCACACAGGCTATAAGCCTCTCAAATGCAAAGTGTGCTTCAGGCCGTTCGGGGACCCCAGCAACCTGAACAAACACATCCGGCTCCACGCGGAGGGAAACACACCCTACAGGTGCGACTTCTGTGGAAAGGTGCTGGTGCGGAGGCGGGACCTGGAGAGGCACGTCAAGTCCCGGCATCCCGGGCAGACCATCAAGAAACTAGAGGACAAAACGGGAGGCCTGTTCGAGGACGCAGAACACAAGAGCGACAATGACAGTGATGTGGACGTGTGCTTCACCGACGACCAGAGTGACCAAGAGTCGAGCAAAAACAATGACTGATACAAACACACGTTTTATTGACTTACAGTTATGTACAATACATGGCATTCAAGCTTCTATTTTGTTCATTTTAGACAATGATCTATGTCTCTACCACATCACACCAAATGTCCAAAAATGTTTATAATTCGCTGGTGCTCGGAAGAGGGATTATATATCTCTCAAAAATTTAAACAATGTTTCCTTAAAGGGAATCTGTAAAGTCTTTAGTGTCTGTAGAGTTTTGACACGTTTTTTAAAAAGTGCTAAAAAAAACAAGAAGCAACTAGTCGTGCTTTTTTTGATTTGTTTCAACCACGAAACGTATTCGGATATTTCTAAAAGTCCGGACAGTTCTACACTAGCATTAAAATAGGCTAACTGCACAAAAAACAGGAACAATGATTCAGGATCAGAAAACTCGTCATGACTGAAAACGAGACCAGATGACCCTGAAGTTAAATATAAATATATTTTTCTACAGTGTAAGAAGGGTCACCGTTTTGTTAAATGTCTAATGTTTCACATACGCTTCTTAACTAAAAGGCCCAATCAAAAAAGAGCACTATATTCCATCAGACTGACTATGGATAGGCCTACATATTTGGAAAATTATGAGCTGAAAAACAAAATGAAATTCTTAAAAAAAAAAAAAAAAATCTTTATTGTGAATAAAACAAATTTTGAGTGAAAAAAAATTACAACATTCCCTTTCTCCCCTTTCAACTGTCAGTTGCACTTTAAAACAGCAATGGGAACTTCAATGCAGCCAAACAGATCGTTCTCGGATTCCCCGCGCCTCTTCCATTTACTAGCCGACTTCAATTTGCACTTTCTTGCGGAGGTGCGTTGTTCTTAAAGAAGCAGCCAGCAGCAGCGCCCACTTTATTTAAGGAATTCTGTCTAGTGACCGAAAATGGGGTTGATTGCAGTTATAGTCTATGTACAGAAGTGTAAAGTATGATATTTCACATTTCAGTCGAGAAGTGTTGTATACGTTTGTTTATAAGTGATATCGTCTATGAGCACATTATTTTACTCCTGTCATTTAAGTCGTTGTTTTTGAATAAATTTAATTTAAAGTATGAAACAAGTTGTTTGAGTTTTTCTGTTTTATCTGTGTTATTCAAAATGGAATCATACACAACATCCTCTCTTAACCCATCTAAAGTGGTTCTGTTTATTAGGTTTGGTGTTTTAATTCGTATGGCACAAATATAAGTTAAAGAGATAATACTTAGTAAGAGTAAGAGTGAGAGTGATCTTTAATAAGTCCCCTTGTTGAACCGGAGGAAGAACTCTGAATCTATGCTCCCATCAGTCAGGCCTGTATCCATCTGGAGAAATAGAGCGCACCTGATGAGTAGATGCAAAGATGTAAGGGAACAATCCCGCCAGCCTCTTCAACAACAACAACAAAAACAACAACAACAATAATAATAATAATAATAATAATGTTCTTCTTTCATATAATAAATTAAATCATTACGGTATATTGAGAATTTTCTGTTCTGCAGAAAATGAATATTTTAAAAACGTGATATGTTTTTTGCATGTTAAGAATTTTTAAAAGCTTACCACAGGCCTAAATTTAAATTGTAATCTGTTTTTAAGTGAAACGTTTAGCTGCCTTCATACGTGTATTTGTATTTCAATTAGACCTATTATCCTTTTAATGGAGGGGAGCATGCGTCTTTATGGAGAGACATCCAAGAAATTCACATTTCTACTTTAATGCGGCGGTTGAGTAAAGTCCCATTTACAGGTAAAACTACATTCTGAGTGAGAGATGGAAAGTGTAACACATTGTTTATGACCAAACCAGCGGGAGTGCAGTCATCCAGTGGATAAGAAATATATTAATTTTTTCTAGTGCTGTTTAACTGCAGCTTGTTCAAACCGGTCCATTAAAATGGTAAATGAAAAGATCAAAATAGCTAATTTTTGCTTGTATTAAAAAAAGTACTCAGCCCTGAAGGAAAATTCCAGAGAAGGAATTTAAACAATCATACATGTGAATATTGAAATTCCCTCATTTTTCAAGGATTTTCTGCCTATGCTTCTTCTTCTTCTTTTTTTTAAAAGAGCTTATGTTTCGTTATCAATGCATGAATTTCACTGGGAAAAATAAAAGCTGCCACTTCCTGTTTGATTTTATTTTGTCTAGTATGCTTGGTATTCTGACACTTGCTTGCATTAATGCCAACCAGTTCAACATCTTCAACTTCATGCCTGAGCAACTGCGTCCATACTGTATTTAAGACATCAAAGGGTAATAGTACTCATTATTTGGTTGACATTTCCTTGGTTACAACATTCGACTTCGTATCTTGTGTCTCCTATAGCAAATGTTCTTTCCACCATAAAACATACTTTGCTTTCTCCTGCACAAAATAGAATGAAAGCAAAGGGAAAATAAAGAACAAACATCATATATATATATATATATATACAGACAATATTTTCCTTTCATGGTGTAAAGGCTTTTTGAATATTCTCTATACAGCGTCCTCTATATGTGCTAACTCATATTACTGGTTCATCCTGTGTTGATGTACAGCATATTCTTTTCTGTTTCTAGATATGGTTATGTGAATTGAATGAAAGAGAGAATGGGCAAAGCTGAAGCAAATTATTAAATAACATGAAAGGCAACAGTATTAAGGACAATTGAGGCAAAAGTTTCAGCATGTCAAACTATTTGAAACTTTCACTCTGGATCAAGTGCTACAATACAATGTAATGGATTGTCAGGCATGTTATTTAAAAAATAATAAGTAAGTCATTACCTGTTTTTTTTTTTTTTTAAATGGTAAAGCATTGAAGTAGTTTAGTTATTGGTGAACAGCAGAAGGTAAAAATGACTCTTTACTTTTTTATTTGTGAGTTCAACTACATGAAGGCTTATCAAAAGTCATGTATGGTTTCAATATGACGGCAGCAGCGATAATGAAAGTGAGGTGTTTGTTCCAAAAAAGACTCCCAGTGTCTGGAATAGATTTGATTTTATAGCCTCCAACTTCTAAAACGTTACTTTGTGCTGTAAAGTTTGTCCAAAGTCTGTGGGAGCAATCAAACACAGCAGCAGCAACATAAAATCTCAAAAAGATGCTTGCAGTCGATTAGAAGAAGAATATCACACTACAAGGGAGATAAGGTGAGGAGCCCCTTCAGTAGAATGAAGCTTTCTTGCTGCCAACTTTCAAATATCCTGGATGTTTGTAAATGTCTCAATACATAGTATCTGCTATAATCTTGGACATTTTAACACAAGGCTCTTTTGGGTTTGACTCTTCAAGGTTGTCTCAAGTGGCCATCCATGAAAGCAATAGTATTTATTGGAACTTCAATGGCATTATTTGTCAGCTCTAGAGGATACCACTTCAATGCCATGTGGTGAACAATAATGGTTTAATATTTACAGTCTATGGCTTTAGCTACATAAGTCTCGATCACCAGCAGCTAACTAAGGTTTGCACAGTACTCTAGAAGTCCTGTTTTACACTGAAACCAGAGGATTAACACATTGTCTGCTCAAGATTTAAAAAGGTTTAATCCAGAACAAGGATCAAGTTATCCATTTAATTCTAATATGTTTTTCTATGAAACACTGGATTTGAACGACTTGATCCAGATACAGAACTTTTGGGGATAACCAAATCCAGATGAACAGTGCTTTAAGGGGGACTTCAGAGTACATCATTTGTCCATAGTGGGTGCCAAAATCCACACAAACGGAAAGATCATCATAGTTATTTCAAATACATATGTAATGTTTGATATTGGTGTTATTGGTGAAATATTATTGAAATTCTACAAAATCTACAAAATCCTCTTTAATCCTCATAAATCTGGAAAAAATGTCCGGATAAAAAACAGGATTATAACCTGGCCAATTACGTAATCCTTTTTCTTTTGAACAACTCATTTTAAAGATTTGATCCAATTCCATGGCTTTAATCCTGTTTGATAACCTTTGAAGAACAGTGATTAGATAGGATGATTTCTGAATGTATTTCATGGCTTATTTTAGCATAACCTGAACAAGATGCAGTAAAATGTATGACATATCACATTTCTCTTCTTCTTGCATCATCATCACCTTGAGACAGTGCAGACTCATGCTGAACATTTCTTTTTGGTTATACAACACACAACAAAATGTAAAAAACAAAGAGCCTACCAAGGACCTGTTGTTTATTGATCCTTTTTAACCTCATTTTATAATTAAGCCTCAGTTTCTGTTACTGAAAATGTGTCATGTGCATAACACCAATGCTAAAACTGTGAACATATTGTAAAGTTGACATTACAGGCACATGTCCGCAGAGGCAATGCTTCTCAGCGGACGAGACAGGGGACCGCTCCTGGGCCCAGTCCAGTAGGGGGCCCCTGAGAGCTCCCAAACTTAAACCTGAGCACTGGCGCAAAATGAGCAAATTTTGGAATGACAGTAGGAATCCTCCCTTGTGGGGAAAAATGAAGAGGAATTAGCCGTTTATAGGAGAGAAAAACAAAACAGGAACAAATAGGAAGAGGAGTAAGCGTTTTTACCAAGGGCCCCAAAAGACTCTATACCCAACTGCATGTCTGGATGCCTTTCATTGTTGGTTTGAGCAGGAAGGAATCCTATTTTGTATGACTCATGTACACCTTTACATTTCTTAAAGTGGCAGAGTAAAAGGTTAGACAGATATCGAATGTGCTGGTATTCCATACTGAAAACTGCTATCCCATTTCAAGCGCTTTTCTGTGAGGTTTCAACAGGTTTAAGTGGAAGCTTTGACTCCATCTCTAAAAATGTGGCCTTCCCCTCCCAGAAAACAACTGCCCAAAGCAGAGCAGATATATTGAGGTTTTTCTATTAGCAGGGTTGGGTGGGAGTCAGATGCTTCTGATGGTAAAGATAGAGCCGAGCAACCGATAGAAGCTTTTGATTTGCTGGTTGATCTTTGTTCACCTGCTGGCCGAAAGCTTTGGATCATATTAGATTGAATCAAATAGGATATCAGATACAAGTG